AATGTTGTATGTCTGTTAATGTTTCCCTCCTTTTATCTTTAAAATAAAAATAAATAAATAAATAAATAAAAAGAAAATGGAGTCACCTTGAAAACATAATATTAAGTGAAATAAATCAAACACACAAACTTAAATACCATATGGCTTCTCTCATAAAAAAATAATGAAGTACAAATATAGAGAAGAACAAAATGAAGAACTGAGGAAAGGAAACAGGGAGATAGACCTTTTCAAACGGGAAGAGGACCAAGAGTTGCAGGGGCATAAAAGGATTTAAAATGTGTCATGTACATTTAGCAATTACCTGTATGTATCACAAACAAGAACTAATAAAAAGTGTAAATGGGGCTGGTATCTAAAGATGTACAGTGGCAGGAGAATGTGGAGGGGAAGGAGAATAAAAAGAAATAAAATACACTAAGTACCTGTACCTACTCCCTTAGATGAATGTAAATATCATGTTCTGCAAATTGTACTCATAAAAAAGAAAATTTAATAAAAGGAAATAGTTCATTTATAATACTAACATTTAGAGAACTAGTAACAATAAAAAGGCAAAGACAATTGAAACATACCTTGTTTTTGGAATAGGAAGATTCAAGATTGGGAAGGTATCCATCTCCCTAAATTCATTAAAATTTAATACAACTAAGTAAAGTACATGTTCTTTGGAACTTGACAAATAAAATTTAACTTTTATGTAGGAAAATAAACACCAGAGAATCAATACTGAAAATCAAGAAGAAAGGATTGTCTCACTTGAAACAAACCACACTATGAAACTAAAATAATTAAACAACAAAATAGAGAAAATAGAGCAACAGAAAGATATACAAACTGGCATATGTATGAATTTAACATATGACAAAGGTATAATTTCAAATTTATTAGAAAAAAGATGAATTATATAACAATGTTAAACAATATGAATTATAAAACAGTGTTCAACAATATGAGATATATAACAGTGTTTAAAAACTGACCAACAACTTGGAAAAAAATACAGTTGGATTTCTAACAGGTTACACCTAAACAAATTATAGATGGAAAATAAAATAGAAAATTGCCAGAAGTAAAAATAGGTAAATTTTTTCTTAACTAATTTTATACAGAGAAAGCCTTTCTAAATTGGAGGTAAAACTTGAAGCTATAAGGAAAATACTGATTAGAGTGACTACAATCTTTTTTTTTTATACTTTTTGGTGCTAAAGCTTGAACCCAGGCTCTTGTGCTAGTTAGCCACACAAGCACTCTACCACTAAGCTAAAGTCCAAACAGCAAGGCTTTTATATTTATATGTGATTTTTAAATATACACATGCTCTAAATAAAGTCAAAGAGTAAACAATAAACTAGGAAACAATACTTATAACATGACAAAGGACTAACTTCCTAAAATTACAAAAAACTCAAGTAAGTCAGCAATAACAAAAAACAGATAAAAAATATGAACCAATTCTGTTCACAGAGAAGGAAATAGAAATGGTCAACAAACTCAGAGAAGTAAATTTAACTTCAGGTACAATTATGGAAAGGCTATTTAAATCAAGAATATATTTCTTTGTCATATTGGCAAAGACTGAAATTACTGATAATACTCAGATCAGTAACAGTTTGGAATAATAACATAAGACAATAGGCACTCTATTTTTGGTAGGAAAAATAGTTCAGTAATTCAAGATGCTTAATTTATCATTCAGGCTCAATAATTTTCTTTGACATTGCAATTTCATTAAATCTTCACATGCAAATATATTCATAAAAGTATAAGAACATGGAAACGCAAATGGAATCTCCTACTGATAGTCAAATAGGTTGTTTCCTGATGTTATTTTGTTTTCTTCTCAAAACACCACTATTGGTCCTATCATTGGCATACCATTTTCTATCCATTCCAAAAATTTTGCTTCTTTTCTGAATCTTCAACTCTGTGTCTCTACTGACTCTAGCCTATCACTATTTAAATACATTCAAATATTTCCCATCTCAAAAATGAAAAAAACAGAAAAATGAAAAAAAAAGATTATCTTTTTTCTTCACCAGAATGATTTTTTTGATTTTCTTAATGGTTAGAAGGTATACTATGTATGATTTCCATTGTTTTAACTTATTTGAAAATTGACCTTTTCATTATAAAATTCTCCTCTTTATCTTTGGTGATACTCTGTACCTTAAATTCCATTATATTTGATAGTAAACAGGCCCTTTAACCTTTTTATGTTTATTGTTTGCATAGAACATACTTTTTTTACCTATTTGGTTTCAACCTCATTGTATCTTTAAAGTTTCTTTAGACTCTTTTCAAGACAATATATAACTGACTTTTTGCATCATTCTTTTATGTCTTTTAATAATAATTAGTCCATTAATATTTAATGTAATTATCGACACAGAGTTAGGGATCCTATTTTATTATTTTTGTCTATATATTCTCTGTGACTTATTGCAAATATTCTACTTTTCTCACTTTAATTCAGACTACATAAATATTTGTAAGATTCTCTTAAATTTATACATTGTGCTTTTAGCTATATATTCTTCATATTAATTGTCCTAGGAATTAAAAAATAAACACCTGTGGTAGCTATTCTACAAGAATCCCTCTTCTTAGGATTCTCACCCATAAGAAATGTCTGAGGGAAAAGATAAAACCCTTAGTCTTCCTGGGTACCCACACTTTAAAGACAAACTCTGTGATGTAAATTTGAAATCTCTTCCTTTGACTGGATAAAAATCCAGGTGGTGCCTCAGAAAAACCATTAAATCAAACTAGAAGACCATTAAGAAATGTAAGGAAAGTGTTTCTCGGGAGATTCAGCAGAAGCCCATTATTCCTAATGGAATATAACCCAATAAGAATCATGTGAGATGCATAGTTTTTTGAGAACTGTGTTTCCCTAAACATACTGAGTTTGAATTGAAATGGATAGGTAGTAAAAAGTTAAAAAGGAGCACTTAGGTATCCAAAGTTCTACAATACAAAATCTGGCTGAGAAAAGTAGTAGCTGCAAACAAGAGCTATCTTTTATTAAAAAAAAAAAAAAGACTCTAGAGTAAAAAGCCAGGAGCACAGAAGATGGACCTAAGAGTCATGGAAAATTATTACTAAGTAAGACCAAAACTTAGTCCTAATCAGGTAATTTCAATATTTCTATAGCTGGATTTCAGAATTGCTATGGAGTAATAATACCAGTGTATTCCAGCTTTTTGAACAGATGTCTCTAGTAATTAGCTTACGCCTATGTTACCACAGTATATTGCATGTGAGGGGAAAACTAGTGCTTTTACTTTGAAATCTTCAGATCAATAGGAAATACACTCAATGAATTGCACAAGGAATGACAATCAAGGAGCTTCATCTGGACCTGATTTAGATGAAGAGATGCTAAACTTTTAAGCTTAAACTAATGATTTGTTGTTTATTTTCCTTATTTCTGTCTACATTAATCAATAATAAAGTCCTGTTGTTCTTCATTAACATTTAATTCACTCCCTCCTCTCTTTGGCCATTGCTTTAATTAAGCATTTTATTACACAGTGCAATAACTTGCAAACTAGTATTCCCGAAATGCAATTTACATCATTATGTAACTTTACTTCCCAGTTCATGTTGGTTTGATAGTAAAATGAGATTGATAACACCATTTCTAACCAGTAATACAGCATCCATCACATTACACTGTAGATACCTGCTATGGGTTTGTTTCTTCCACTTTTAGTTTCATATCCACATGACCTAGCACAGTACCTATGACATAACATAGCAAAATCTATATTGAACAAATGACTAAATGCTTGTGCTACATGCACTACTAAAGAATTTGGTACTATTTACAATAAAAAGTACACTTTCATTAATTCATTAGGACAATTAAAATTAAAGTGAGAGACATAATTATGTAATAACACAATCTGTTAAAAAGGTTAAATTTATGGAAAATTCATTCATTCAAAATAAATTATTTTTATTAATTCCATTCAAATAAGGTGGTACTATGTATTCATACCTCTTTTTAAAATGTTTGCCTGGTTTTCTAAGTCAGATATTTCAATCTTGACATTTTCTTTCATCAAAAGCTCTCTTTTCTTTGCTATTTCATACTCATTATTAAAGTCTGTAATTTCCTTAATAAATTTTTCTTCCTCTTCTATCACTTTTTTCTTCATAGCTGCCTGAAAAAACAAAAACATAGATCAAATACAGGTATTACTTCCAGTAATATTTCTCTTTTCTGATTTAAAATATAGTCATTTGGAATTATTAACAATGAAAGTATAAAATTATACTACAAAATACTTCATTTCTCAGTAATACTACTAAAAAACTGAAGCTAAAATGACAATAAACTATCTTCAGATGAAAGATTTATCCTTAAAGTTTTTCAATAACTATGATAGAAATTCTATCACTCATTACTGTACCTGTGTTTATTTGTGAATTAAACTTTATAATCACTCATGCTATTCTGGCATTACAATATAAAATTAGGTGGCAAAATAATGCCCAATCTTGGAAATTAAAAATTACATTCAAAATAATATAGCTTTGCAAGAAAAAACAGAAAAATCAACAAACAAGGATATCCTGAGAAATATTTTTAAATGCAGATTAATGAAGGTACAATTATATATTCACTTCAAAATCAGTTCTAAGCAATTGTTTGTATTTTATGAAATAACAACATGGTGTGAAAATGACCATTTTCAAAACTTTTGCGAATACAAAAGCCTAAACTTTTTGACAATACAATTACTTAAAAATCATTATTTTTTTTTATTTTTTCTAAGGGATGTCAACTAATTATGGACCACATTCAGAAACTTCTCATATCATTCAAAATCACATCTTTTGCCTCTGACTTCTGAACTATACTTTTAATATCTTTAAATGTGTTTTTTTTAAATGATACCTAATCACAAGTCTTATCTCCCAACTGGCACTGCCACTCAATTTGTTGGTCTTGACTTAAAATAAAAAGATAAAACAATATCCACACTTTTACCCACAGCCATAAATATGCCTAAAGCATGAACCTTTCAAAGCATTAAAACTAAAGAATTAAAGCCAAAGGAATTAAAATCAGTTGTTAACCTTTATTATAGGCTTATTACAATTGCAAATAATTTCTATTTTACACCCGTCAATAGAATTCTTTCAAACTATATTTCTCTACCAATTAGTTTTAAATAGCACTTCATACTTTCCTCATCTGTATAGTACTATCTGCCAATATGCATGTGGATAATTTTCTAAATGTACACGAAGTATATTTAAATAATTTTGACAGGTTTATTGAAATGGAGTTTTCTAAGTGGTTAGACTTACAAAGGTTTGGAGAAACATATTTCTTTGGTTTGTAACTTCACTGCATTGTCTTTCTAAGGCATTTTCATAAACTTTTGAAAGCTGTAAGAGGGAGGATTTTTCAGAATACTGCTGAACCTTCAAAGCCAAGAAACAGAAATTAGAAACAATTGGACACTTTAGAGTATCTTAGTTAACAGATTTGCATAAAGTAATTTTCTGCATTAATCTTTAAAATGCAAAATGAAATTCACATTAAATATCTTAGTACATATACACTATCTACAGAATTACAGTTTTAAGACTCTTCACCCCAGTAAGACCGGCAGCTCCTTGAGGGAAGGGAGTATGCTTTCCTCTTCCTCCTCATCCTTGCACAGTTCTTAGCTTATGCACCCAAACTATACACACTGAAATCTGTTAAAAGTTTATACAAAAGCACAGTCTTCTTAAGAATAAAAGAAGGAAAACATACTAACAGACATCCATTTACAAAACAGCATAAGAACAATACACACAATACAGAGTTACAGACAAAGTGGTAGGAAATTAACAGTGGTTGTTGTATTACATATTGATATCTTCAAAGTGGTTTCTCAGGAAAACAAACAGAGATATGCAAGATTGATTGAATAATTAATCATTAACTGTTCCCTTCAGTAAAGTGATAGAAGTCAGTAGTACAACTATGTTAGCTATCCTGTATATACATACATACATAATTTCCCCTTCTTTCTTTTCTCTTTTCCCTCACCCCAGTTGCTCTTTACTTGTGAGCATTTTCCTTTCATTTCACAATGTCTGTCATACCTTCTAATTTTTATTCACTCTTTCAGGTTCTTACACTAGTGAGGCAATACATTGCTTACACATGGAGGTCTGTTTTATTTCACTTATGATTATGGTCTGTAGTTGTGACTATTTACTTATAAAAGCCTTGAGTTTATCTTCTTTGTAGCTGAGTAATATTCTATTATATAAAAGTACCACAATTTTTTTATCCAGTGCTCAGTGGATGGACATTTGGGTTGCTTCCACAATTTAGCAATTACAAATTGCACAAAAGGAGAGTTTTCTATTCTCACAACTTATGGATAAATTAGTTACACAATATGACAAATAATGAGATGGGACAAATTTGTAGCTAAGTGGTAGAATGCTTGCATACTCAAGGCTCTGAGTTTTATTTCCAGCACCACAAAACAAAACAAATAAAATAATGAGATAAAATATACAAAATATAGGCAAAAACTCAGTCCCATGAATGTATCATATGAAACATAAACCTTCTAAATTTCTCAAACAGGTTTTAAGCATTCATTTTTCTTTTTTTTATATATTCTTCAATTTTAGAGGGTGGTTCAAGATCATTTTTACCTCCAGAACTTGCACCAGTGGGTTAGCAATGATAGCTAGGCTGGTACAATCTGAAGACCATCCCATCTCCTCTAGACATTTACCCAACAAATTCCTTACAAGCAAGATCAGAGACCAAGTCGAATGTGTCAGTGTGTGGGGAAGAGGACCTCGTATTTGCTCACTTTCCTCAAGAACTCATTTTTCATTTTAGTACCTCATTTACAACTGCTAAACAGTAACAGATAAAACAAACATTAATATTAGATATGTAATTACCATATTATTTTATTTGGGCTTTAAAATATGGCATCTCCTGAGACATGAATATTGAAATGAAATTCAGTGAGTTTGATATATAAGTTAAAAATAATGTTAGACTGAAAATAATTTTTCTGCAATTTTCAGTATTAGCCCTCATACAAAAGCATCACTTCCAGTTTGCAGCTATTCCCATCTTTACAGAAAAAAGTATATAAATTCAACTTAAATTGCAGAAACCAAGATTCAAGTTATTTATAAGAACTTCCTCAAGATGAGAGGTAGGTTGTGAAATTTGTCCCAGAAGATATCGAGCAGTAAAGAGCCTAGGAATAGTCTCGTCCAGAGGCAGAGGTTGGTTTAAAAAGCATTTTGAAATATGACAGCTAAAAAGCTTTGAAATATAGGCATTTAAAAAAATTAGCTGTAGGGGCTGGGGATTTAGCTCAGCGGCACAGCACCTGCCTGGCAAGCGCAAGGTCGTGAGTTCAATTCCTGGTACAGGAAAAAAAACAAAACAAAAAAAATTAGCTGAAATAAAATATGATCTTACATGTATATAAGATCACAGTACTATCTACAGTCATACCACCCTGAATGTGCCCAGTCTTATCTGATCACAGTACATATGCACAAGGCTACAGTACCTTCTGCTACTACCTCACCAACTCTATTTTAATAAAGATTAGAGAGGTACAATTTACATGACTAAATGACTAAATGAACAGAAATAATACTTTTAAAATTAGAGGAAGGAAGAATTAAATAATTGGTAATTCATTATCTGACAAGAAATAATTATAAAACATACATCCAAATCTATCAAATCATGTAGAAACCAACAAAGGCAAACAAGACTGTGATGGTGGATTCTATTAGACTTAGAATAAGCAACTACTTCAGGAATATTTACTAATAATGTTTAGGTAAATGAGAATAAAATAATATCCAGAGAAGTTTGATCTTTAATAAAGGTTATATAATTAATTAAGGACAATCCCAGGACTAAAATCCAGTTTTTCTGACATCCTTTCTTCTAAATTATGATGTTAACATGGACATATTTTACTTATTTCAAAGTAATGAAAAGGTAATTCTGGAGCAAAAGAGACTTCAGTCTTTCATAATAGTGTAAGTTGAAAGTATATAAGCTTATGAGACATTCTTAAAACTTATCAAACATTAGGTCCATGGTAGTTGATGAAAAGGCTATATGTACATGCTTTTTTTAGGAAATTAACAACGATTATTATATTGCAGATTGTTATCTTCAAAGTAGTTGCTCAGATTACCAGATACAGGCACATAAAACTAATCAAACAATATAAGCATGAACTGTTCCTTTCAATGTAGTACATACTTTCAGAAATGCTATTTCGAACAGCAACCATGTTCCAAAATACTTTAGCAACCAAATATTGGGTTAGATAAAGTTTGGTTCAGTCTATTAAGGTATTTCACATATGATGTTTTCAAAATCAAAATTCCTAAATTTTAATTCTTTTTCTGACACTGATCTTTTACAAGAAGACCTGTGTGAAACTCCAAATTGAAGAAACATCACTCATTGAACGAATAAATTCTTAAATGTGACTTCAGTGAACTTATTATTCAAATGCAGAAAAGTGTTACACTAAGGACTCAGAAATTCAACACCTTTATTTCAGGTATGAATAACTAATAGCTAAAGACTACATTTATGTCCCCTTTCTGTAGAAAGCTAATAAGAAATATTAAACGGAACTATATAATAGACACACTGGCACTTAACTGCAATATTTACCACAATTTAAAAAATGAAGCCTATATGTCCAAACTTGAAAAATAGACAGCTATAATTTTGTATTTCATATATTAAAATATATAATTTTCTTTCATAAAATTCTATGTTAACTATCCATTTTGAAGTTTTTCTCTGCTTAATTTTTTATTATGTCTTTCATTCTCATTTTGTCTTATCCTGCTTTTCTTTTATTTTCATGTTTTCCTTTTAATCAAAACCCAAAAAGTCCCAGAGAGCCCATAACTATAGAAAGATTATAGTAACATTAATTTTTAAATTTACTTAATATCTACAATGACAACACTTAATACAAAAAGGTCTTGGGAGGTAGGGGAGATAGTATTATAGAGAAAGTGCCAGGACTTTAGGGAAAGTAAAGTCAGGAAGAAGAATCAAGCAAGATGTCTCCGATATTTTTTTTCTTTTCTTTTCTTTTCTTTTTTTTTCCAGTACCAGGAATCAAACTCACAACCTTGCACTTGCCAGGCAGGCGCTGTGCTGCTGAGCTAAATCCCCAGCCCCTGTCTCCAGTATTTTGATTTACACTGTTAAGGACTTCAACAGGCTAATCCTAGAGTCTTCACTTTTTTTTTTTTTTTTTTTTTTTGGTTTTTCTCCGGTACCAGGAACCGAACTCATGACCTTGCGCTTGCCAGGCAGGCGCTTTTGCCACTGAGCTAAATCCCCAGCCCCTAGAGTCTTCACATTTTAATGGAAGTAAAGAAATAAAGACATGTGGATCTGCCCAGTTCTTCTCTGTCAAGTATGAGTTATTAATCCTTCAGGAATAAAATAGCTTTTCATACTACTGATTTATAAAATATATACCAATTATTTCTTAGGTTCTTCCTGTTATACCAACTAATTTCTTAAGTTGCTTTTCTATGTTTATGTGTTTGAAAAACAGAATTACTGTTGGGTGAAATTTAATTAAGTGTTCTAAATATAAGCCTGAATATACTCATAGAATCAAAAGATGGCATTATTTCACACAAAAAAAATAATCACCAGAAATATTTTAACTCTCTTGTTACAAAGGTGATGGGTAAAGAACAGAATGAGAAGATACTATAAGAGATTAAAAAATTGTACCATAAAAAACTACTTCTAAATCAATTTCCTTGAGTCAGATTTGAGTTGAAGCACTATCATATCCATGGTAGCTTGGAGCATTTATTTTATGCTAAGTACAAATTATTGAATCTGTTCTAAAGAGCTACAAACAATACCAAAAAAAGGATATAGAATTCCTAATGGCAGGAATACATATTTCTTACTCACATCTCTCTCTGTCTTCTTACTAGAAATGAAAATATTTGTGTGCAGCCTTAAAGGTGCATTCCAGAATCAAAAGCCAAAGCTTTGTCACAAAACGTTGTTTGGAAAGTTTCATTTATAACATAGTGCCGAACGCCTTGCTAATTCTGCTTCTCTCAGCTATAAATGTATATTTTTTTCTCTGTTTATTCCTCTTGGGATATTTGATTTTTCAACAGAGTTTACAGTTTTCCCAGTGAGCTGACTTATCTGGTCAACTAGGTCAGTTTTCAACAAAGCCATGATTTGTGACTCTGCTATATTTGCCTGCGTGCCTTTAGGTATTTTTGCACAAGAAAAACTTGAAAATTGAAAATGACAGAGGATTTTAAATTTATGTTTGGATCCAAGTAAGCAAAACACAGAGCTAGTCTTTGTTTTGTGTGCTGTTGTTAAAAATAATCTCAGCTTGAAGAACTGA